GGATTCCGAGAATGCCAAGGTTTTGTTATCTCAAGTCTTATGATCAGCAGTCCTGAGAATAGCATCAACATTCATTCTCATTTCTTCTGGTGCTCATCTGGATATATACAGAAACACAGATACATACACTCAGATCCATACACATACAAATATGTATAATATTTATATGCTAAAATATATAAATATATAATATGGACACATAAACAAAATACATTTAATATAAATATATAATATGTAAATAAATATGTGTATATAAAAGATGGGACGTAATGTATCCAAGACTGGTTTGAAAATATAGTTGAGGATTACCTTGAACTTAATAGTGTATAAGGTTCCTCTCTTCTTCAATAAGGGTATTGATACATTGATACATTGATCCTAGATACATGTTAATAATAGTTTTGTTTTCATCCCTGATTTTAGTGCCTATTTATAGCTGACCTATTTCCTCTCTCTTCCAAACCTCATATAGAGAAAAACTTAAGGACTGGCAAAAAACCTTTCACCCTCAACTCCCCTCTTTTCTCCTCTGCCTTTTGCTCCTCTCAGCTTCTTTAGTTTTATTTTTTATTTTATTTCAGTTTATTTACTTTACATCCCCAGGGTGGCCCCTCTCTTCTCTGCTCCCAATCCCCCCCTCCCCACCTTTCTTCTTCCCCTGTCCCTTTCTCCACCAGAAGAGGGGAACCCCCTCCCCCATATCAACCCTTCCCAGCCCATCAAGTTACATCAGGACTGAGTATATCCTCATCCCCTGAGGCCAGGCCAGGCAGCCCTGCCAAAGGGAAGTGATCCAAAAGCAGGCAATAGAGTCTATGTTAGAAACAGCTCCCCATCCTACCTCCCACTTGCCAGGCAACTGACATAAAGACCAAGCTGCTCACAGGCCACATATGTGTAGGGGCCCTCAAGACCCAGCTATATCACTCCTGGGCAAAAGATGCTCCACCGTACAACAGGGACACTTGCTCAGCTATGATCATATCAGCGTTATTTGTAATAGCCAGAAACTGGAAACAACCTAGATATCCCTCAAACGAAAAATGAATAAACTGTGGCACATTTACACAATGGAATACTAATCAGCTATTCAAAATAAGGCAATCATAAAATTTGCAGGCAAATGGATAGAGCTAGAAAAGATCATCCTGAGTGAGGTAACTCAGCCCCAGAAAGACACACATGGTATGTGCTCACTTATAAGCCAATATTGGAGCTATAGTACAGAATAACTGTGTTACAACCTCAGCTCCTATTTTTACCGTAAAACCTGTGAGTCACCACAGTAGATGGAAGGGGCCAAAGCTTCAATTATTTAATCTAGTAGGTTTATGGATGTTGTTTGTCTTAAATTTTTAATTAATAGCCTCAATTTGGTTTTTACTATGTTTTTAATTGAGGCATAATTGTAAATCTTTATGGCTTACATGAATAATTTGCTATGTGTGTGCAATGAGTGGCTCTCAGACCAGATAATTACTGTCACTTTTCTTTGTTGGGAATCTACAAATACCTCTCTTTTAATTCCTCCTTAAAATAAAATAGACAATGAGTTGTTATATATTAGCCTTTACCCTATGATGTGTGCTCTAAAACATCCAGAACCTACCCCGGTATATAGTCCTGCCTTGTTACCCATTATCCGCCCCAACTCCTTCCTAACCTCTTGTGACCACTGTTCTCTCTCTCTCTCTCTAAAATATATATATATATATATATATATATATGTTTATGTATGTAACATACTTTATGTAAGAAAATTGGAACCCTGTGCATCTTTAATATTCAGAAGGATATCTATTAAAAGTTGTCTCTTAATAGAAGCTGTAGTTAAGTTCTCTTATCCTAGACTCACTTCTGTGAGTCAGATGTCTTTGATATCTGACTGGTGGAAGCCTTTAATTTTTCTACTTATAATGTTATCCCTTCCCCACACCGGATCCCTTTCCAGGTTTCTAACCTGGCACTTTGCACGTGGACTTTTAGTACTTAGTAGTCGGTGAGTGTTAGGGGTCACAGCAGTCCAGTGTGCCCAGAAGTCCAGTCACAGCAGTGTGAGAAGTCACTGGCTGTGGATCTAGCTGAAGGACTCGGGGTTCAAATCTCTGTGATACTTCTTTGACTGCGGTCATAGAACTGCAAGCCCTGTGCCTCCATTCTTGACGCTGTTGTGCAGCCAGCGTTGCCTGTAGGAGGCTGGGGTAAAGAGGGCAGCACTCACTGGGAGGTGGTCGCTAGTCTCCCCCTAGTTACGGTTCAGATCACCCCACTCCTTCAAGCCACACACCTCCCTGCCTGGGGTAGCAGGACTTCATTCAAGTTTTTGACTAAAAATATCATTCATTTAAAAAAAAATTGTATGAGTAAGTTTTAGTCAGCTTATAGTACAATAACTAAAACTTAAAAAAAATGATTTTATTTATATATTTATTTATTACAATTTATTCACTTTTTATCCCCGCTGCTGCCCTCTCCCTTGTCTCCTCCCAGTCCCACCCACCTTCCCTCTTCTCTCCCTATGACCTTTCCCTAGTCCCCTGATAGTGGAGGTCCTCCTCCCCTTCTATCTGATACTAGCTTATCAGGTTTCATCAATGCTGGCTGTATTGTCTTCCTTTGTGGCCTGGCCTGGCAAGGCTGCACCCCCCCCCCAAGGGGGAGGTGATCAAAGAGGAGGCCCCTGAGTTCATGTCAGAAACAGTCCCTGTACCCCTTAATAGGGAACCCACTTGGAAACTGAACAGCCAATCAGCTTCCTTTGAACAGGGGGTCTAGGGCCTCTCCATGCATGGCTCTTAGTTGGAGTATAGGTCTCTGTAGGCCCCCTGGGCCCAGGTATTTTGGCTCTGTTGTTCTCTTTGTGGAGTTACTGTCCTCTCCACATCTTTCTATCTCCCTCTTTCTCTGTAAGGATTCTGGCATTCTGCCCAGAGTTTGGCTATATGTGTCTCAGTATCTCCAATACCCTGGTTGGTAGAGTATTTCAGAGGTCCTCTGTGGAAGGCTTCTGTCCTGTTCCTTTTCTTCTCCTACTTCCTATGCCTATCCTGTTTGCCCTTCTGAATGATGATTAAGCATCTTCTCTAGAGTCCTAACTCCAGGGATGATGCATGCTGGAGAGGATGTGGAGAAAAGGGAGCCCTCCTCCATTGCTGGTGGGAATATAACCCTTGTACAACCACTTTGGAAATCAATCTGGTGATTCCTCAGAAAATTAGGAATAGTGCTACCTCAAGGTCCAGCTATATCATTCCTAGGCATATACCCAAAAGATGCCCCATCATTCAATAAGGACATTTGCTCAACTATGTTTGTAGCAGCTCTATTCATAATAGCCAGAATCTGGAAACAACCTAGGTATTCCTCAATGGAGGAATGGATACAGAAAATATGGTACATTTACACAATGAAATACTATTCAGCAATTAAAAACAAGGAAATCATGATTATATATATATATATATACTTATAAAATCTTTAAATTTCTTATTTTCAAAGATTCAGGGACATCCTTTGGGTCATTTATTTTTGTGTTCTCCTTCTTCCTTTTCTTCTTCCCAAGGAGTCAATCTGTTCTCATGAAAATTTCATGCCAAAGACATAGTGTGTCTGACTGTGTACTTACGTGTATCTACCTGTACTTAGTATTTCACTAATAAAGTTCTTCCATCTTCGGAGGGTGTGTCATCCTCCGATAGTCATGCTATACTATCCCTGTCACGAGTACAGGTCAGAGCCAGTAGAAACAGTCTCTACCAGCATCAGAGAAATAGTTCCTAGCTAGGCTGCTAGTGGAGCAATTAACAGTAAATGCCACTTGCTCCTCTGACGGGCTGTGTGACCCTTGATCAGTTGCTTAAGTTTTGTAAGCATTCTTTTTTTTTCCATCTATGACATGGGCATACTCTTACCTTTGTAAGGGTTAGATGAAAATTATATGAAATGGTTTATGAAATTCACTCAGTATATGTTAATTATTCAATGTACACTGATTATTATTATTATCATGAAATATATTCAGTATATGTTAATTATTCAACGTACACAGCATTGTTCTATTGACCATGAATTCATTCTGGTTATTTGAGCAAACGATGTGGGTGCCAGGACACACCCAGCCGTTGCCTTTGGAGGGATAGCATCTAAGATTTTTGTTGTTGTTTTGTGTGAACATAAGATAAAGCTCCTTTGGCCCTTCACAGCAAATAAATGCCAACAAAATTTTCATTTGTATGAGTGTGTAAATGCTTATATATGTATATATATGTGTGTGTATATATATCTATATAGAGATATATAGAGAGAGGGTGTTATAAAGAATTAACATGTTAGCCTAAAATGTAGGTTACTATTTTATTAAATAATTCTAAACTTTATTTTTAGATATTTGATTTAATGGATGCCAAAGCACGTGCTGATTGTATCAAAGAAATAGACCTCCTTAAGGTAAATAATGAGCTATGGGCTATTTTTAAATATTTTAAACATATTGATAAAGTGATTTACCAAAATGTCACATTTCCAAGTAAAACAATTTTTAAGGCTTGGTTGGTGACACACATGTTTTAAGGAATACTGCATAATTTCGAGTAGGTTTGTTTAAGAGAATATAGTTTTTATTTATGGTAAAATAATTAAATCAGAATTTTAGGTAGAGTCCACTTTTTCAAAACAGAAGATACGTGGGCCTGAAACACTGGAGAAGTTTTATTTATTTATTTATTGATTGATTGATTGATTGTAGAACATTCTATTTAAGCCGGTGCTACTGCTCAAGTAATGTAAGTGTGTATTAATATTGTGATAAGGTATATCACACTGAGATCCTGGACTAACTGATGTGTTTATAAACAGGTCCTAAATAATTTTTACAGATTTTGACAAAGTGAATAGCGAGAGGATGTTAGGAATTAATATTTTGGTTCCTTGTTCACCTCAGAGTATGATAAGGTTCCAGTCATGTGGGCAGTATTTCATTGTTAGTGATGCTCTTTCACAGAATTGCTTATGCTATATTTTTAGTTTGTTCTCAGTTATGAATGAGGGCCCACACTTGTGTTCTCAGCACCTGGAAAGCTAAGGCAGGGAGAACCTGGGTTCCAGGATAGCCTGGGCTACAAAGCAAGAGCTCTGTAAAGAAAAGGAAAAATTCAGTGTTTTATGCATCTTTTTATATCCTCAAAATGCATCAGTTTTAACCAAAGTATTTTAAAACTATATTTTTCCACTCTTTGCATTTGAAGTTACTGCTTTAAACACACACACACACACACACACACACACACACACACACACACACACGCAAACACAACTTTTAAAACTAGAAATAGAATCATTATGGATAGCATGGAAGAAAACCTCTAAGTACAAAGAAAACCACCATAACTGATAAGAATTTCTCTTTGAGAAATTTATGTCTTGTGTTAACTTGTTTAAAGTTTGAACAGAAAAATTATAACTGTGTACAGATTGCTGCATGCTTTTCTACTAGATGAGAGTTTTTTGGGGGGTTGATCTTAGTCAACTCACATAAATAGGTTCCATGTACTTATGTTTATATTTCTTGATGTAAAAACAATATTTAAATACTGTATAGTGGATGGTAATTGTGGATTTGTATAGTCTAGCTGTGTAGGAACAGCTGCAATTTAAAAGTAGGAGTATAAAGAGGTATCTTATAGTTGGATATTCTGGTATGACCGTTCTCATCTTGAAGGATGTAATTTTGAGCAGTTAATAATTCAGTCCCACCATTCACTTGTTGCATTCATTTATATACCTGCTAGTCATAGTAGCAATTAAAAAATCTTGAGTACGCTACTTATTACACCTAATAAAAATATTAAAACAAATGTATTCATATCTAGTTTTAGTTGAATAATTATGTGTTTCAAAATTGACTATAAAATATGCTGTCAAGATATTTGTAATTTAAAAATGAGTTTCTGTAGCTAAGTTAAAATAATTACAAACTAAAAATGACTGGAATTTAAAATAAAATTTTTTGCTTTCTACTTGTTTTTCCTTAGCAACTCAACCATCCAAATGTAATTAAATACTATGCATCCTTCATTGAAGATAATGAGCTGAACATAGTTTTGGAATTAGCAGATGCTGGTGACCTCTCCAGGATGATAAAGGTGTGTCTGTGCATTCATTTCTTTTTCTGCCAGAGTTGCCTGTGAAATACATAGCTGTGGTAGCTACTTTGAGGGCCTCAGTGTAGTACGCGGCATACGGTAGGTGATAAGGATGGAAATGGTTATGAAGTTGGCCTCCTTAGCAGAGTTCAGTCTGGTTAGCGTTGGAAGTGGGTTTAGAGGTCTGTTTTCTGAAGCTAGAGGTTTTCAGCTTGTTACTCTCAGCACACTAGCCTTGGTCCTTTGTGGACCTCAGGGAAAGGAGAAGGAAGAAATCCAACTCTGGAGGGATGGCCCAGTTGTTAAAAGTCCTTGCCACACAGGGAAGAGTTGTGAGATCAGGTCTCCCAAACCCATATAAACAGCTGGGAGCAGCTGGGTCCTGTTACCTAAGTGCTTGGGGGTGGAGACAGGGTGATCCCTGGCAGTCGCTGGCTGGCCAGCCAGAGAGCTGAATAGGTGAACTCGAGGTCAGTGAGAGACCCTGTCTCAGAAAAGAAGATAGAGAATGACTCAGGGAGACATTAGCTCTGGCTTCTCCATGTTCATGCACATCATGCTCATGTATCTGCATGAACACACATCTCATGTACATGTGCATACACACACATCCGTCGACACACACGGAAAGGAAAGAAGCCCAAGAGCAGCGTGACCTCTTTCTGAGGGGACGCATCTGAGAAGAATTTGGACCTCAGTCTGACTGAACAGCTATTTAGAGTTCTTTCTTAAAAGCATATTAATTTGGATCATGTTCAGTTGTAGTAATAGAAACAACTGAATGAGAGTAAGGTAAAGGCTGCTTATTTTGCACGTTTTTTATCTGTACCATTTTCTCAAAAATATAATTGGCAGGGATATTGTAGTGATGAACTCCATTTCTAGTTATCTAGATCTTAGAATTATGTTTCACACTGAGCTTCAGTCCCTTGACTAGAATGTAGTCTCATGGACATATTTATCTACAGTAGAGGCTGCACTAGATAATCTGTATTCCACTGGCTGTGCCCTGCTAAGCCTCTGTGACTTTGGAAGACAAGCTGTCTCATGTGAAAACAAACCAAACCAAGCAAAAGAGACAAACAAAGGTAGTTAATTTAGAACCTCTGTAACCGAGGAATCACCCACTGTTACCTCCACTTTGGCAGAGACTTCAGGCTTGCAGAGGAGTGACAGCATTGCGGAGGGAAAGTGGGTTAGGTGTTAGAGATTAGGGCTACTCTGGGTGGAGGCTTTTAGAATAGCACGGATATAGGTGCACTTGAAGTTGGGGTTTTCTGTCAGGTTGCCGCAGGTTGTGTTTCAAGTTCTGTTTATGTGAGTGACCTGAGAGTTTTCAGCTTGTACATTGAGTCTTTGTTTGGGCTGGTAGAGTCTGGTAAATCACGAATAATCTGTTGCTAGTTATTGAAAGGAGGGCTTCTTTAATCCTCAGAAGGCTACTTCTTGAGAGGTCTATTTGATGTAGTAATCCATGTGATTTCCTTTAATGGTTCTTAAAGATTCTTGAATGGTAGGGTTTCCTTGAATATCAGGTGCAAGTACTTGACCATCTACTCAATCAAAGGGTCTCGTAACTTATATTTCATTATTAAATTTTCAAGGTGCTTAGTAGTTAAGAGCTATTCCTGAGGGAGGCTACAGTATTGGCTACTGTAACTTGTATCACTCAAATTCTTCTAGTTCCCCTACCTGTAAGATGAGCACAGTTGGCTACAGTTTTCCAGTTATAACAGCGCTGAAGTAAAATGGGCTAGGGAAATAGGTCAAGTGCTTGCCTCATGTATTCAATTCTCAACACGGGGCTTGGGGAGAGCTAAGGTAATGTGATTACCTTATGGGAGCTGGCGAAGCATTACAGTTAAAATGAATCACTTCCAACCTATTATCTGATTTTCTGTTTTAGGGACTTCCCACCACTTACTTAAGCTGCCAACTGCTGAAGTATTTCTTTGCAAGTTAAAGTGTAATAAAACTTTATAGTCATAGCTTTAAAAAGAAATCAGGATGTGTTCTCTGTCCACCTCTAGTGGACAACCTAGATTCCAGCTCTTTGAACATACAAAAGAAAACCATCGTTACTCACAGCTACAACTTATGTAAAAGTATTTGTACTTTTGGGTGTGTGTGTGACTGTTTTAATTACTTACCTGGTGGTGGGATGGGAAAAAGGGTAAAAATCTTTGTCTCTAAAGTAGGTTCAGAAAAATGGGATTCTATGTGGAATGGGTCATACTCCTGTAGACAGGTGGGTCCTTTGTACTCCTGAGGCTTCTGACAAAGTTTGCTGATGTGTATAATGTAGCAGACTATTTAAAGGGGATCATTTTTGAGTTCAGAAGTTGTGAGCATGGCGACTTAATGTATTTTGGTAGAGTCCTGGAGCTTCTGTCCCTCCTCTCTAGTGTGTGTTTTTGGGTAGGTTTTGGATGCAGCTTGCTTTTCTGTAGGTTCTGACAGTGTAGGTTTAGTGTAGGTTTAAGACCCTCTGGGCAAAGTCACTTCACAGTGACTCACTTTGGACCCTGGGTATAGTTTTATGTTTTGTTTTGTCTTCTTTTCTTTTTCTCTTTGCAGTATGTATTTCAGACTTGACAAAATCCCAGTGTTATGTTCAGAGGAATAGTGTAATGCATTTGGACTTGAAGGTCTCTTCTGATTCCTTTCAAGTAGAACTTTATTATGGATCAACACAATTCAATAGTGCACATAGTTATTTTACCCTTACATGATTTAAGCTTTGTGTTTTATCTCCTGTCTTAAATACAGAGGGCCTGCTTGCCTTAGATTTGTTTTCTCTAGATTTAGTTTAACTTATGTAAATAATTTAATTCAAAGATAGATGTATGACCATATGTATATACATGTTCTCAGGCACATCAAGATTTAATTATTGCTTTGTTAGAGAAGAAAAAGCTCAAACATGGAGCGTGGTGTAGCATGTTGCACCTCTGCACCTGTCCTTTTTCCATTTGTGTTATGTGCATTCATGTGATATTGCTGAGTAACAGGATATACACATTTTAGGTCATAGAGACTGCCAGCTTACTCCAGTTTAAAACTCCTCTTCCAAGAAAAAAAGTAGTTTCATTTCTTTTCTTGCTTAGCACATGCCAAAAATATGGCTTATACCTTCTTAGAACACAGTATGCACCACAAAAGAGAGTTTTGAAACTAATGTTCATAGAAAATTGTGTAACATTTATTGCAATCATATAAAGGAGACAAGGGTATCATCAAAACGGCTGATATGGGACTGTAAACGTTTGATGGCAATAAGAGGCTTCTAGGTGGTTGTGCTATGTGACCTTGGCTTACTTACTCTTCAGTGATTGAGCCACAGCTGCCACATCTGTAAATTGGTTTATAATACCCATCTCACAATGTTATTGAGAGTGAGATGATACACAGACAGGCACACACAAACACAATATGTATAGTATGTGTGTGTACGTGCTGTGTTTAGTGTGTGGTGTGTTTTATCTTTACACTTATTTTTAGACCTTTACAAATACATTCACACACATTATGTAGGCCTATCTGAAGTTTTTTATGTTTAATTCGTAGTCACATTTTCTTCCTTCCCATTAAGACTCTGAATGGTACTCTACCTAACTCACTGCTTACATCATCAAAAGTCTACACTCCCATGTCAGAGTGACTAGAGCCCCTCATGCATGAGTGATTGCACCCTCACTTTCCCATGATGACTTGTGCCTGGCATCATGCATCCCTCCTGCTCTCCTGCTGAGAGCTCTCATGCTCTCACATAAGAGGGCTTGTTATACATCCCTTCACCTGTGTCTCTCTCCTCTGTTGCCTTCTCAGCCTAAGTCTTACTCCTGGTTTAGCTGTGGCCACTGTGCATCTTCTGGGTTTCATCTGTTATCATTTAAATATTTTCATTCCACTATTTATTTACATGCTTTTATATATACATACAAACATATACGTTTATTCCTTGTTAATTCACTCTTTCAAGAAATTTGGGTTTTGGTAGAAAGACAAAAAAAGTGAAAAGCAGGTCAAGTCTGTGGTTTGCCAGATGTTGGTGAGCGCAGTGCAGAAAAGCAAAGAGGGTCAAAAGGCATGCATTAGGTGGAAGGATCTGCTGTCCACATGGGATGATCTAGGTGGGTCAGGTTTTACCACCCATACCTCTGCCTGCTTTTCCATTTAGCCACCATCAGAGCTCCGTGAGCGGCCTCTGGGGTGACCTTGGTCAGAAGTCCTCATTCTTCTTGATTGTCCAGTAGCATTCAGATCTGCTTTTCAGTTGCTCATTGGAGTTCTCCTTGGCTCACCAAGTACTAAATGACACTGTTCACTGCCAACCCCTTCTTAACCAGTCACTGTCTTAGCCTTGCCTTTGTTAAGATAAGGCCTCCCATAGCTCAGACTCTAGCCTCAAACCTGCCATGTAGCAGAGTCTCATCTTGAACTCCTGATCTCCCCGCTTCCTCCCTAGTGCCGAGATTGTCGATGTTAGTCTCATGGCCAGCCATCTTACTCCTGCAGTTTCAAGTTTCAAAGCTGCCCCCCACCCCACTGTGGGTCGTGGTGTTGATGCCTCTGGGGTCAGTTATTCTCTGTCTTGTGCCTGTAAACAAATTTATGATCTTCTTATAGACTGGCCTGTGTGTCTAAGTGGAGGTTCAGCATGAGAGCATGGCTAAAGATAAGGGCTCTTCTCTGACACTTGGCTCTCTCTGACCTAATTCAATTAGTCTGATCATTTTTTAAAATTTATTTGTTTTTCAGATCTCTGTCTGTTTAATCCCATTGCCCATTTTCACTTGCAAGTTTGAAATTATCCGTATCTCTTCTCCAGAGTGAGAGCCTTTTAATTCATACCCCTCCCCCCATTTGTTATAGAAATCTGCATTTCTTCATCAGTCTTTAGGTGGCAGGGAAGAATAAGAAAACTCTCTCCTTCAGCCAGACCCTCCAGGGATTTCTTAATGAGGGTAAAGGTTGAATTGTTTAGCAGCCTGCGTGGC